TTTTATGCTTAAACATTGCTCTCATCAAAATAGCCCTCTTTAGACTTGATTGCTGCAGCACAAATTTTGGCATTCGCTGCAAAGGTCTCTCAAAGTATAAGTTTGAGAATTGATTCCATTCTTTTTCAATGACTCTAAGAGATCTTTTTCATTTTGGGATGAAAAGGATTCACTGTTCTGTCAAATTCATCCCATGCTAATTTTGTAGGTGGCTTCAAACCTTTGAAGTGTACTATATATATATATATATATATATATATATATATATATATATATATATATATATATATATAGATATAGATATATAGATATAGATAGATAGATATATATATAGATATATATATTATAAATTAACTGATTTAAAATATGGTTTTTTTCGCTACACAGTAATAACCATGTTTCAAAAATGGAAGCTAAAAGCTTCGAATTTAATTTTGTAATTAAATTAAAAACATTAGTTCCATTTCATCCTCAAGCGAATTTTGGGGTCTAAAATCAGTTAATTTATAATATTAATGCTTTGTAAATTTACATTGATTCCATTCTTTTTTCAATGACTCTAAGAGATCTTTTTCATTTTGGGATGAGAAGGATTCACTGTTCTGTCAAATTCATCCCATGCTAATTTTGTAGGTGGCTTCAAACTTTTGATATATATATAATATGTATATATATATATATATATATATATATATATATATATATATATATATATATATTATAAATTAACTGATTTAAAATATGTTTTTTTCGCTACACAGTAATAACCATGTTTCAAAAAATGGAAGCTAAAAGCTTCGAATTTAATTTTGTAATTAAATTAAAACATTAGTTCCATTTCATCCTCAAGCGAATTTTGGGGTCTAAAATCAGTTAATTTATAATATTAATGCTTTGTAAATTTACATTGATCACTATGTTGTAAAAATAAAAATATCAATAAGAACACCGGATTATATATCTTACTGTTTTTTTTTTTTATTATATATATATATATATATATATATATATATATATATATATATATATATATATATATATATTTATATATATATATATATATATATATATATATATATATATATATGTATATATATATATTATATATATACGTATATTATATGTATAATATATATATATGTGTGTATGTATGTATATGTATATTGAGACTTTCGATCTCTAGGCCGATAGATATTATGTGTGTATTCGCGCTTCTGTGTGTGGGTAAGTGTTTGTTAGCGTGTGTTGTAGCCCACTAGAAAGGAGAAAAAGATAAAAAGCCATAATATATTCACCCAGATGAGTTATTATCAATGATGAAGAAAAATAAATTCTCTGGAAAATATAAAGTTAACTGATGACAGACGAAACATGCTAACCAGGCAACAGCAGTCTTTAATCATGAGAAGAGAGTTAAAAATGACTCAGTCCATAAATTTAATCACAATTACCACCCGGTGTGGGCAGTGATGGCCTGTACTCGTTGGGAGTAGGAAATGATTTTAGAGGATATGAAAATTCAACTGAGAACGTAAACAAAGAAAAAAATATTGAAATCAAACTTGTCTTTTACGAACTAATCTCTTTTTGAATTTCCTTATTAAGATTAGTTACTAAGATTAAAACGAGTAACGAAGTTGATTTGATCGCGTCTAAATTCGGCATCGATTATGATAATGAAAAGTGTGAAAAATCCTTTACGAAAATAGTTATTTTTCATTTTTTGTCGCTTTTTCTTTTTTTAAGAGAAACGAGTCAAAAGTTAATAATGATCCGTCTCCATTTAGCAAAATTCTGACAATTTACAACGATTATAATTACTACTACTACTACTACTACCATATTACTAGGTGTAAACAAACAATGTCTTTCTGTTCTATACTTCCGAGGTTCAAATTTTATTGATGGGCAAAAGGCTATGAGCGTGGCCTTATAAAAAACGATAAAAAATTGTTTAAAAAGAATTTATATTTATCTTTAAAACAATTTCTATGTCAGATCAATGCTTATAATGGCTTCCTTTCATAACGAGTAGGTCCCTGAAGGTAGGTGTTTAATCGTCAAATCCTCCGAATCCCAGGCGATCAACGGGGGCGTCTCCCAAAGTTCGCTTCCTGGTCCAGCCCGCTTCTTCCTCTATATAAATGATCTTCCTAAGAGTATATCCCGATTATTTGTGAATATATATATGCTGATGATACAACGGTATATGGGTGCATCTCCAAAACCCTCGATGACCAGAGCTTGACAAGTGCTCTCTCCTTGGACCTAGTTCTAACAGCTCAGAGGGGGAAAACTGGATGCTTACATTCAATACCTCAAAAACGAAACTAGTGACCTTCCACCATTGCCGTTTGAACCCAGAAATTTTAACAATCGTGATGAATGTATGTTCATTCAGGGAGGCCCGCGATTTGAGCGCCTATTGGGATTTAAACACAAACGCAGACCTTAAGTTGAACTCGTATATATGATCCGTCGCTAAAGATGCTGGGAAAATGGTCGGTTCTCTATGCCACTAGAGAGAGTACCTAACTTCTGCTATCCTCTAGTTTTACAAGAGCGAGATCAGCCTGAAAATGGAGTACTGTAGTCATAAATGAGCGGTAGCTGCCCATTCTTCACTTTCCACCCTCGATAGAGTTCAAAAGTGTCTCTGCGTCCTTATAATCGACAATTATTTTCCACTCTGCAATCCCTTTCTTAGAAACGAGACGCCGCAATTCTCTCACTGCTCTATCGCCATTTCCATGGAAAGTGTTCAGATGAACTACACCCCAAAGTTCTATCAGTCCTAACCTTCACGGCTAAGACACGCCATGTCACACACATTGTAGCGAACCATCATATTACCCTGCTGAGACTCAAGCAGCTTCTTCCCACGGACCACTGCCTTGTTGAACCGACTCCCAATGAGCTGCTTTCCCGATCACCACAATCTTAACTTGTTCAAGTCTAGGGTTAACCGTTATCTTCCACACATATCCGCATAAGCTGTGCTTCTTACTCTGTAAACCTTGAGTGACCTTGGGCCTTGTTCAGAATTAACACCTCTGTAAATCAAACAAATTGTTAATATTTTATTAACAAATCTCTAGATGATCTCATATCTCGTATTTCATTGATGACACGTAATGCAAAATGCATAATCATCAATGCACAAAACAAAAATACACATTATACTATGTTGCTCTAGTTCTGTATTCTGAAACCCTTTAACTGTGATAGTAAATTAATTGGAAGTTAACGATAGCGACACAAAGATCTAACAATATTACAATCGTAATACAAAATTAGTCCACGTACATGCAAATATTCGCACATACCTGTATACATCTAAACATTTATATATCCTATTCCTATGAACGTTATCGTTAATGGGTGTTTCACTTGATATCTCTATTATTTTTAACAGTGAAATTAATGTTATCTCACTTAGAGAATTTCCATGAATGAAAACTGTGCTTCCCGACTAAAATCGAACCTGTATTCCATTCTTCCATCAGGAAAGCATACATTCAATCCAGTAAACACATCGTCTACGGCGCCATGGAGGAGCTAGAAAGGCTTAGCTGCTCTTCACTTTTTAAAACTAAGAAATTGAAACTAAGAATTGAAAGTAAGAATTGAAATTAAGAAATCGAAAGTAAGAATTGAAAGTAAGAATTTGAAAGTAAGAATTTGAAACTAAGAATTGAAAGTAAGAATTTGAAAGTAAGAATTGAAAGTAAGAATTTGAAAGTAAGAATTGAAAGTAAGAATTGAAAGTAAGAATTTTAAACTAAGAATTGAAATTAAGAATTTTAAACTAAGAATTGAAAGTAAGAATTTGAAACTAAGAATTGAAAGTAAGAATTTGAAAGTAAGAATTGAAAGTAAGAATTGAAAGTAAGAATTTGAAACTAAGAATTGAAATTAAGAATTTGAAAGTAACAATTGAAAGTAAGAATTTGAAAGTAACAATTGAAAGTAAGAATTTGAAACTAAAAATTGAAAGTAAGAATTTGAAAGTAACAATTGAAAGTAAGAAATTGAAAGTAAGAATTGAAAGTAAGAGTTTGAAAGTAAGAATTTGAAATTCAGAACTAAACAGAAGAGTTAATTTGTCTTCTTGACATCAGTCGATATTGAGCTGAACTGTACAATTTCTCATAAACTCAATAATGCGCCATATTTTTTACGAGCCAGATCTAACAAAAAATGGATTATTGTTACCTTAACTGGACTGGATCTGCTCAGTCCTCACTCACTTCTGTTGATTTCAAAAGCGTTGACGTGGCCTTGTGGCTGATTAATTATTTTCCACTCTACAACTCCTTTCCCACAGACGAAAATTTGCGAACTTCTCGTTGCTCTATCGTTATTTCCATGACATGTTTTCTGACGAGCTATATTCCTTAGTCCCACCACCAGTGACTTTTGCAACTGGTACCCATTATGCCATGCCACGTACACAAGGGGGAATCATCCCAATTCCCTTCGTATTCCCTTCGTATCTTTAGAGTAAGAAGTAAGTTTCATTCGGGCAGCTTCTTCTCAAGAACTGCTTCTTTGTCGAACAGACACTCGGCAGGATGTTTCCCAATCGCTATAATACTGACCTCTTCAAATCTAGGGTTAACTGTTATCTCTCTTGCATAGCTTCATGCACTTTGATTCTTGGTCTTTCTTAAGCTCATATAACAACTTACAGTAACCCTCTACCTTGAGTAGCTCTTAGGCCTTGTATTGGTTGAATATTAGTATAAATAAGAAATGAAGACATGATCGCTCAAGTCCTGAAGCAACGCGCGACATTAATAAAGATAGTAAATTGTCACAATAAAACAAGAGCAACGTTTGCGCATGCGTGTTTTTAGACGAGCTTATTTATGTTTACCCGTAGTCGCGAGCGTAATATACATTATTATACTATGCTACTAGGTTAATAATATTGGGTATGATGTGTATCTCAGCCAGACTGTTGACTTTTTACACACTCTTACCGTCATTACTAAGCGATGTCTACTTATATATTTCTTAACAACCTCTTCGTCGCCTGTTGCCAGACTATTACTACAATGAATTATATGAGATTCGCTGTGCAGCTAAACTTGTTATTACGTACTTCTTTTTGCCTCCTCTTTTTTTTTATTCTTCCTCCTTCATTTACCTTCCCTGTGTGCGCCTCCCACACGTCACTCGTGGGCACATTTTCTTTTCTGCCTTCAACCATGTCCTCGCCCAAATACCGCCACCCAGCCCAACTGTCTAAACCTCTTAACCACGCTTGGAATCTCGGTCCAGGGCAGATTCAAAAGGTAAGAGGTGAAACTGAAGATTCAAGACGGTATGTGCTGTTTCAAATGGATCAGGTTTATGAAGGGAACCACATTTTTTTTTATTTATTCTTTATTTCAAGAAACAAGAAATTCAAGAGCTACACTCACGTTCTCATTCTATATCTACCTACCTATCTAAGTTCTTTTTTTTTTTTTCTTATATATATATATATATATATATATATATATATATATATATATATATATATATATATATATATGTGGTGGTAAGAGAGCATGCGTATGTTATGTGAGTGAATGTAAAGATACATTTTCTTCTCTTTCTCTTTATTTATGTACCTGTGTGCGTGTAAGCATGTACTTAGTCTGGTATAAGGACAGATTTATGGGGGATAAACAGAAGTCTGAAATCAATTAAGTAATGGTATTGTAATACTAGCTTAATAACCACTACTACAACCAAAGCTTCTTATGCATATGTGTACACATATGTGAATATGTATGTGCTTGTGTGTGTTTGTATACCAAGTCTGTGCGTCGTGGGAATGCAACTCAACTCCAAGACAGTCAATATGCCTCTTAATTTATGTTGAGATCTATCGATCAACCTCAGTCAATTGATATCTATCTATCTATCTATCTATCTATCTATCTATCTATCTATCTATCTATCTATCTCAGCTTGTCTATATCTAACACATTCTGTCCATATCTGTTTATTTATCCACCCGGTAAACAATTGAAATAAAGATACATATGCATATATCGTTTCACAGTGTGAAATGTAGAGCTCTGCTTCTTGTTAAACCTATGACAAGGTGACTTTGCATTATCAAGAAGACAATGTCGGTCGAAAGAGTTTTATGTTCTATGTTATATGCCGGTTGCGTAATGAAACCCCGGAAAACTGAATCGATAACGACCGTTCCAATTTCCGCTAATGTTACTTATATTCAGTTAGCACTAATACTATTTAAAAAGGCATAACTCCACATCACCCTGCACTCTGTCCCAAATTTGCTGTTACTGGAATACCCACCTCATTGACGGAAAGGAAAGTGAACACCCATACAAACTACTCTCCTATAACTAGGCTGCCAAATTATTAACAGTAACAAGCTGTTACCCGCATAATCAAATTTGATAGGAGCATATAAAAAGAAATGATGGCTCTCATGCCTCTTATCTGAGATTTTCCACCACAATTTCTATCTATAAAGTTCATCGTAATAAGGATTTAGCTTTAATTATTATTTGAGACGAGCTATTCAAATTCCAAACATAGTATTAAGAAACAGGAAAATTTCTTTAGAAACAAAGTGTTTAACTATTACGTAATATCAGTCCGTCTATATGGCGGTAAATGCTAGAAAATTTCCTCACAGAGGAAGAGGAGGCTTCAGGCAAGAGATATCTGCGTCTACAGAAGGATATTGAGAATATTATAAACAGAACATGGGAGTAATGAAGAGGGAAATCTGGCGTAAATGGTTAGCAAAATTCTCTCCCTAGATCTGACTACGACTGAATAGTGAGTTCGATATTCACTTCATACGTTCGGCTTTGTGAAAATATCATGAAGACGATCATTGTTCTCCACAGAGTCTGTTTCTTTATTATCTGGGAACTGTCAATGTCATGTCCCTTCAGGACGTAGACAATCATGGATCTCCATAGATTCCGTTTTTATTATTTACGTATTACCCTGACTTCTTAGACAATCACCATGTGAGTAATTAGGAAGCTGTAAGGAAAATGGAGGTAAAAAGGAGACTTATGCTTAGAATCTGAAAGAGAGTTGAAATTTCTGGAACACATAATGAGAAAAGAGGTCTTGGAGAATTTAACATTCGCAGGAGATATTAAAATTAAGAGCGGCAAAGGGAAACTACTTAACGACCTTGTGTACAGGGAGTGAAAGGGATAATAAAAAAGACCATAATAACTTAGTGCTAAGAAGAATAGGAAGTTGTGAAGAGCTGTGATTGCTCACGTCCTGGAGAGACACGGCACATAAAAGAATAATGTAGCTATATGTTAATATGAGAGTAATATGACGGTTATCAGCGCGGAAAGTGGAATCTGTGATGCGAGATCAAATTCTAGCATAGTCTGTTGCATTTACTTTCGCACTAATGACCCAAGAAAGCTAGAAATCCATTTTTTCTCCTTCCAGCTATAGATAAAATAGAAGGGTAGATTAGGTTCTCTAGCCTTCGGTGGATGCCAATCTAAAAGAAAGAACCGTGGAGAAGGCAAGAGGAAATTACTCCACTATCTTACCCAAAATAATCAGGGCAAAAGAAAAGGATGTGAAGATCCATCAGTTGAGAACAATGGTTGTCTATATCCTGAAGGGACATGACATTAGTAATTCTCAGATAATAAAGAAACAGAATTTGTGGCAAACAATGATCGTCTACATCTTGAAATGAGACGGAATTTAAAAGAAATGTGGGTATATGCGTAACTGACTGGTATTCAACATAAAAGGGTTAATCTACTAACAATTTAATAAAAAAATATAATAATATAATAATTATTATATTTGTTGATAACTCGTTCATTTTGCCCACAAAGTTCATCGCTTCTAGCACCAATCTATACGGACAACTCCATGTTTATTGTCCCCGAGGCTCTCATCGGTTGAGAGCTCACTCGAGAAACACTAAGGCGTGCTTCCGTCGGCTACAATCTAAATCCGAACATGGCAGTATATTCACGATGATGATATCACGTCATTGCTGGGCAATGGATTTCCTAGACGGTCAAGATGGATGTAGGTTTGTTTGATTGATTTGTTTTTTACGTCTTTTCAAAATGTTGTGGATTATTCAAAGCCGAAACATATTTGGATTGTAAGAATAATTCTTTTATTTATTTCTTGCGAGTGAATATTGCAGTAACAATATTTTTGAGAATAACAATGATTTTCCCAGATACCAGTCCTACTATTTAACCTATAACTGGAGAGATGGATTTATACCTTTCCCATTTACGCGTAAGTGAATGCAACGAAACGACTTGAAAACTCGGATCTCTAATTTCTCATTTTGCGCTTTATCCATTTCACCACCACAGGGCGGAGTGTTCCCCTGATGGGATTAACGGCTATGGATATCATGGCCAAGGCGAACCTTGAAACCAGCGGATACTGGCTGCGGTCTAAAACGGAGAAGAATGGGCTCTGTCAGATCTGTTTTACCCAAGACATGCACTCAGAGTTTTAACCCAGATATTGGTTTTCAGTCGAGACATGTAGAGGGTACTGGTCAGTTGCTCTGCTGCACAACAGCCCTACTAACACATCCAATCATGAGACCGACGATGATAATGATCATGATCATAATGATGAACCTTACTTTAATCTGGTACAAGGCTACAATAGTGTTGTAGAGTACGAAAAGGTTTTTCTTCCTCCGTATGAAAACGAATCCCTCGTCTCCAATGTGTTGTAGAGTAGTTTTCACAGTGGAGGCTTGTATTTCACTCAGTCGGTCCTAAAAGGTTCGACGTACAAAACGTTAGGAACTTGAAATAATAGTTAATGACGCAGCAATCTAGTTGTGGTGGTTGATACTTTAATGTCAGACATCGACTGACACACCAACTCACTCTGAGCCCCCTGGCGACTGCTACTACTACTTATTATATGCGGGAGAGTCTATTAACAATAGAATAGGTATGTTCTGGTATAACAAATAGTGAAGCGCTCAGTGAAGGACGAAACGATTTGGTCTATGATATGAGTTTGTTCACCATTCTGCCACGATTGTCGCTCTTATTGCAAAATGTAAAACTTACATAAATGTAAAGACTGTTATGAGCGTAGATTTTAGTAGAACAACACTGTTTAGTCAATTGGTATTAGGAATGGTAGCTTTTAGCTGGCTTTGAATTTCCAATGTCAAAGAGAGATTTTCTATAGTCTCGAATTGAACAAATTCTTACATCTATCGAAAGGTACCAATTAAAAGAAAAAAAGAGAGAAGTGTAAGATGTTTTAAAGATTTCAACCTGACTTAATACCCCCATTCCCATAAAAATGTTCAAACAAGATTTTTTTTCCTCTTTTTTTGATGAGGCAAGAAAGCTACTTGATGAAGCCATGATCTTTTCAGCATCTCTTCCTGCAAGTATTGCCCTGAAAGAAGTGGGAAAATATTTTCAACTAGAAATCACTGAGGTCATATACCTTTACCGATACCATTTTCCCTAAAAATGAAAAATGAAAATCAGTCTATAGACATGATACAGGAGAAGTAAATGTATAAGTTTCGATTTTTACATATTTGTAAGACTATTGTCTTCATGTATTAAAGCAGAAAATGTTCATGGATCCAACACAGTATTTAATCAATTGTTCCTCTATCCATGGCCGATTCTTTCAGAAAATTTGGTTGAAATTAAGGAAGAAGTTTCGGAGTTATTGTATGAACAAAAAGAATAAGATGTATGAATACATAATCTCTATCCAACTTTGTTGACAGGTAATAAGAGAAAGAAAGGAAGAAAAGGACTATGATGGACAGGTAGAAATGGAGAAAAAAAAAGAAAGAAACATAATAGAAATTTATTCTATGTCTCATTTTTAGAGAGTCTCAACTTAATCTTAGAAAATATTCCCGATTACACACACACACACACACACATATATATATATATATATATATATATATATATATATATATATATATATATATATATATATATATATATATAAATGGCCAGAACATTGCTTTCAAGCGTTAAAACCGTTGCTGCAGGGTGTTCAATTCAGTGTTCACTTCTTATATTTTATGTTTCATATGCTCTATACTTGATATTGAGCACTTTCATCCTGGGTAGCCAAGTGATCAAAGTACGTCAGATCAAATGCCGATTTTTTCTAGGGGAATGCTGGTTCGAATCCTGCCGTAGAACGCATATTTTTCTAAATTGATTTTTCGAATATTCAAGCCCATAGACGAAAATAAATAAATATGCTGTTTAATAAATAAGGGAAGTCTACTCAAGTACGAGTATCCACAAAAAAAATAACGTTTAAGTAATAAAAATATGTCGGATTAATATATATATATATATATATATATATATATATATATATATATCAGGATCATGCAGAAGACACCGAGGTACTTAAAAATCTAGTAATATTATTCAAAAACAGTTTTATACAGAATGAAAATTCAAATACTATTCTCTATAACAATCGTTAATAACTCTGGCAGCATTCATCGAATTTCTGCATAGATCTTATATTCTTGGGTTGCTGAATTATCTGCTGTTTATTAATCCGTGCAGGTTAAGGAATTGTACTACATAGAAAATAATCAGGAGGCGTCATATCAGAAGAACTTCGTAACCATGATATTTCGGAAATTCACGAGTTAATTTAGTTAATTCCCAAAATAAAATTCTTCGATTGTGAGTTTTTGTTCAGTTATTAATTTTTGCATGGGGAATTTTCTTAAGTTAATCCAATTTCTGAAAAGGAAATAAACAAATAAAGAAAATAAACTGAAATTCAAACCAGAAGAAAATTTCATTCTCCCTCTAGATATTGATTGATTATTTTATGATTTATCAACCCTTTGTGGATTATTTAAACCCGAAACATATTTCGGATTGTACGAGGTCGCTTATTGTACCTGGGTCAACATTGCTTAACTTCGGTAATCATATAAGAACTGATGATTTCAGCTTGATTTAACCGTATGCTACCTATGGA